AAGATTTTAATTATTATAAAAGTGATGTAAAGAGCGGTTATAGTAACGTAAGTCAGATAAAGAGTACATTTCTTTTTGGACAGTGTTACCCTGCCCTCATTCTCTCCCAAGTTTTTCCCTTCTTTCCCCATCCACAATTTGTACAGTTCATTTTCAACATAATGGCTAGTGCGTACCACTGCTGCATTTGTTCATCCTTGTGCCTCCATTTCTCTGCTTCCCCTTACTCTCCCAAAGACAGATAAAGAAAACAATAAAAAAAAAAAAAAAACAGCCGGGCGCTGGTGGCTCACGCCTGTAATCCTAGCTACTCAGGAGGCTGAGATCTGAGGATCACGGTTCAAAGCCAGCCCGGGCAGGTAAGACCGTGAGACTCCTATCTCCAATAAACCACCAGAAAACCGGACGTGGCGCTGTAGCTCAAGTGGTAGAGCGCTCGCCTTGAGCTGAAGAGCTGAGGGACAGCGCCCAGGCCCAGAGTTCAAGCCCCACGACCAACAAAAAAAAAAAAAAAAAAAACACTCTTATTTCCATTTCTTGGAGTTCATTTCGATAAAGGTTATTTTATATGATCAGAAGCACACAGGCATTGCACCTTTGCATTCTTCCCATCAGAGTAGCCTCCTTTGGTCTCACCGTGTGTGTGAATACCTAGAGACCTATATAATTTATCATGTCCCGGTGTATTTTAGCTTCTGCATATGAGAGAAAACATGTGCCGTCTGTGTCTCTGAACTGTGCTTTCCTCAGTTAACACAGTTTGTTCTAGATCCATCCATTCCCTGCAAATGACATAATATTCTTCTAATCACTGTGTAAAATTCCATTGTATATAGGTACCACATTTTTCAGATCCACTTACCTATTATAGGCATCTGGACTGTTTTCACATCTTGGCTATTGTGAACATGGATGTGCAAGTGTTGTTATGGTATCCTGGCTTGTGTTCTGCTAGATTCCCTGGAGTAGTATGGCTGGAAAATCATGTTTAGTTTTTTGAGGAACCTCCAGACTGCTGTCCAAAGTAGTTGTATCAGTTTACATTCCTACCAATAGGGTTTCTTTTTCCCCACATCCCTGCTAACACTTGTTTGAATTCACAATGTTGGCCAGTTTGACTGGGGTGAGATTATAACTCAGAGGTGTTTTGATTTACATTTCCTTTATGGCAAAGTATGGTGAACATTTCCTTAAATCAACATGCTTTTTAATTCCAAAATAATTTCCAAGAGAATGTAAATTAGGGTTTAAAATAACTGCCCAATTTTAAGATGCAAAGTTCAGACTGGGGATGTAGCTCCGAGATAGAGGATCTGCTTATCATGCACAAGACTCTGGGTTAGATCCCCAGTGCCTCACAATAATAATAATAATAATATAATACAAAGATGAAATTACATAGTTTATTTTCTTTTTCTGTGAGCATTTCAAAGAAGTTCAAGATAAGATTAAGAAGTGATTTTTTAACATTTTGAGATACAGATCTTGATAAATTCAGCCTCTTTCATATATTTCTTTAAACATCAGGGAGGAGAATAGGCCAATAAAAGCCCCAACAAATTCATTGTTCTTTTATTAACAACTATTTTATTCTTTATTTCTTTGGATACTGAGATGTTTACCTGAACCATACACCAGAAAGTTGGAATTACTGAGTACAATTAGTGAATGTTTCTTTGCTCTGTATAGGTGATTGAGATAAAATTAAATTATATTAAGGAAAACAATACAAGCCTTGGCAGGAAAATGATTATAAAGTATCTGTGACTGTATTATAGGTGCACATGATCTCAAAGTTTTTGGGGAAGCTTTTTCAAAGCTATAAAGGGAAAATAGTTTTATGAATATAAATTAAAAGCAGAGCAGTTGACCTACCCTCTCCAGAATATACTTGTTGCATATTCTGTCTTCCAAAGAAAAGGCAGGAGTTGAACAGATGAGCATGTGGACTGCCACAGTTTCTAGAAGAGGTGTGCTTAGCAGGTGGAAATACCATCGAGTGCTTTATCCCGTTCTGTGTGTGTGTGTGTGTGTGTGCGTGTGCGCGCACGCACGTGTGAATGCACCCTCCATACCAAGATCGCATGACATGTACAATATTAGTGGGTTTTGAGACAGTCTCCTGAAGTGCTAGTCTTAAGTGACTCTCCTGCCTCAGTCTCCCAAGTGCTAAGACTACAAAGCACATGCCTTCTAGCTACTGTGTTTTTTTATTTTTTTGGGGGGGGGGGGGGTCCGGTCGTGGGGCCTGAACTCTGGGCCTGGGCACTGTCCCTCAGCTCTTCAGCTCAAAACTAGCGCTCTACCACTTGAGCCATAGCGCCACTTCCGGCTTTTTTTTTTTTTTTTGGGTCCGGTCGTGGGGCCTGAACTCTGGGCCTGGGCGCTGTCCCTCAGCTTTTCAGCTCAAGGCTAGCACTCTACCACTTGAGCCACAGCGCCACTTCCGGCTTTTTTCTTTTTGCTTATGTGGGGCTGAGGAATCGAACTCAGGGCCTCGAGCATGCAAGGCAAGCGCTCTACCACTGAGCCACCTTCCCAGCCCCCTTTTTCTTTTTTCTTTGTGCTTATGTGGTGCTGAGGAATCGAATGCAGGGCCTCATGCATGCAAGGCAAGTACTCTACCACTGAGCCACCTTCCCAGCCCTACTGTGTTGTTTTTATGTGAGATCATTTAACCTGAACTTAACTGATGGTCAGCCTAATCAATGGGGTAAAATTATTTGACTCTTTGATGTTTGTTTGTTTGATTGATGGATTGATTGTGTGTGTGTGTGTGTGTGTGTGTGTGTGTGTGTGTGTGTGTAAGAGAAAGCAGTTTGAGATTGATTGATTTTAGTGTTGGGATTTAACCCAGAGCCTCATGCGTGCTAGACGAGTACTCTACCAGTTAACTGCATCCTCAGCTGTTTCTTTCTATTGACTATATTAGAACAGTATCTTCTAGAGTCTGGAATCTAGATTTTTAAAAAAATTTTATTGTTATAATAAAGGTGATTTACAGAGGGATTACAGTTAAGATAGGTCAGATAAATAATATATTTCTTTTTAGACAATGTCACCTCTTTATTCTCTCAAAAATCTAGATTTTTGAGGAAGTTTGGGAGTCTAGATATTTGAGGAGGTTTCATAATTATTTGCCAATTTTTATGTTTTCTCTAAGATCCTTTTTTTTTGACAGAGGACAAATCTTTATGTAATCCTAAATGGAGCACTACAAGCATAAATTTTAAGTAATAATACCTTCTAACATTTTCTTAATCAAAAAGTAAGATTTTAAAAGAATTTTATGGAAGGAAAATTTCTGCCAAAATGATGTAACACTAGAATAGCCACTGCCCTGATTTCAGTCTCAAGTTTTGCTGTTTTGGTTTTGTCATTGTTACTTTGCCATTGGTCTAGTAGGACAATGTGACATTGCTACATACATTATATTAAATGATAAAAATGTATACATTTACGTTTTAGTCATGTGATTCGCACACCTCCATATCTGGTACTTTGTAAGAAAGGTTTCTAGGATCAAAACTAACCCAGAAGTACTAGATTATAAATGTATGCCATAAAACTTTATTTTTCTTTCCTCCCCAGGTTCTCCTTCATTTCCCAGTGTGAGCGCTTTACATCATTAAGATGAGTTGAATATAGATCTCACTTAATGTTCTTCCTAAGGGATAAGGATGTAGACTTATAAGCAGGACAAGACTAATCATCTTAGTCTTACACTTCGGGTCCCATAGGTAAGGTTTAGAGAGTCTTCCACATGTACTTACTCAGAACTCTGACTCTGTCTTCTTTCTGCTTGAGACTTCAGGGTGCTTAAGTCAGAGTACGTCTGTAACAACAATTGTAAACCCATAGGGAATAAGTGTCTTACCAAGATTGGTGTTCATCACTCAAGGTTTGCGTATTCAGTATCATTAATGATCAACCCTGGAAATCTCAAGTTAGATTTCCAACTTCCATAATATCTCTAAGTGGGGATTTAGCCAGATCTAGTAGCCTTGAAAAAGTATTTTGTGGGATATTTTCCATTTAAACTAATCTGTTACTTCAGTATATTTATTCATTTGTGCTTAACGTTAGTTTCTCTGATATATATACATAAACACTGTTTAGGAAATTACTTCAGCATAACTGTCATGAGCAGTGATGAGCAGTAAGTATTCAACATGATGAAGATAGTTTCAAGAATGAAATTTCTAAGCCCCTTTGTGTACTTGATATGTCAAGCATATAAAAAGTAGTGTTTATTAAATCAGTACTCAAATGAATTGAGGATACTGTTCTTTTATAGCCCTAAAAGCTCAGCATCTGTTTCTGTCAGATATCTTTAAGACCAAAACCTTTAAGCATACATTTGTATAGCAGTTGTGAAAACTCTGCTTTCCAGTTAGGGAAGAAAATGGAGACATTGGCTTTGACTGTTCAGCAAGTTAGATTTTTAAATCTCCTATATCAGTGAAAACAGTTACCTTGTGTGGGTTCATTTGTCTTGACTATGCAATAAGAAATTCAAAGTTCTTAGAATGCCTGTCTGACTTGCTCTAACTGTAAAACATTAGACTGTCTTTGCTTTTATAGTGACAAGGCAGGCCAATTGAAGAGCATCTGGTCCCCTCCCTTGTTTAATTTTCAGCCTTATCATTTGGAAAGGGTAGTGACCTATTTTTCAGAATAAATAAAATACATTAATACTAGCCAGATTAGGGTAAACTTAAAGAAATCCTGGTACAAGTGTGAATCTCCAAAACTGCTTGATTGGGAGATAACTACTTGCAGGTTTAAATAACACACAAATCCCTTTTTCAAGAAGCTTCCTTAAAGTTTATAAAATTATGTTACATAGATTACATTTGCAGGAACACTTGTGTAGAGATTGGGTCTTACATGACTTGGGTAAGGTTCCCAAACATTATTCATCAAGTAAATATCATTTTTGTTCAGTGGAAAAGAGTTTAAATTTTATTAACTACTCTTTCTCTTGTTTTTTCTTCCAGACTTAGAAATGGCTGTTGCATATTGGAAATTAGTATTATCTGGAAGGTTTAAATTTTTAGATCTGTGGAATACATTTCTGCTGGTAAGTGTCCCATCTCTTGCCACATAGAGGAAGGGGAGGTCAGCAATCATAAGGTGGAATGTAATCTAACTAACTCCCATCCACGGGAGTTTTAAATAAAGGAATTCGTGCAGAGCCACCCCCCCTGGACATGTGCAAGTGCTGCACAGCCCATTCTGCTATTGTGGAACGCTGCAGTGGCTCAGCTGAGTGGGAGGCTACTTATAGCTGGAGTTTCTGGGAGGGGGGCTGCAGACCTCAGTATACATAGCTAAAGAATTCTCCATTTCAGCTGAGAAACTTCAGATTCTTAAAAGTACCAAGACCACTTTTATTGCAAGTTGATACAGCTTAGGGCTTTGGCTCTGATCTTGTTGTAGAGAGCTGTCCTGGCCATTGTGTGTGTCTGTAGCCTAAAGCCATATTGAAATGTATTTTACTATGCCCAAGGAGGAAAGGAGGCTTTTATGGGTTTTGTAAACAAACACTGCAGCTCTGCAGGGCCCTTTCTGGTAGGGCAGCAGGGGCAGCCACTGACTGAGCTGGTGTCCTGACTCCAGCAAGACAGTCCTTGTGGTGACAAGAGATGCCTAGCCCTGCTGTGCTGCCTGGATGGCATGGCCTGCAGCCTTGCTGAGGAGCTCTGCTCCTCTCCTCTGTTTAGGACCCCAGTCAGCACGCTCTGCTCTTCTTCTCTGTTGAGGACCCCAGTCAGCACACTCTACTTTTCTTTGCTTAGGACCCCAGTTAACATACTCTGCTCCTCTCCTCTGTTTAGGACCTCAGTCAGCACGCTCTGCTCCTCTCCTCTAAGACCCCAGTCAACACACTCTGCTTTCCTCTGTTTAGGACCCTAGTCAGCATGCTCTGCTCTGCCACTGGCAAATCTTGTGGCCTTGAGCATGTTACTTCTTGGTACCTTGGTTTCTTCATCTACTGATAGCACACACACACTGCATGGCCTGTGGAAAGCAAGAGACTCTCTGAGGGTGTGGTAAAATCCTGCAGATATGGAGGAGGCCTCCCAGCAAGGGTTTCCTTACATTGTGTGTCATGTTACTTTTCTTAAAATATTCAGTGGTTGGTAACACTATGCTTGAGAATCTATTACTCCTCACTGGGGTCGCACCTAAACTGGAGTTCCCCAGAGAACCTTACACTCATGGGCACAGAGATAGAAAGGTGCCACAGCATGGTAGAGACCCCAAAACTCTGGAACAAACCCAGTGATTATGGAATGGGAGTAGATGTGGAAGATGAGACTGTGAACAGACTAGAACACAATGACAGCACAGTGAGAGTGGATGAACTAGGTTTTTTTTTTTGGGTCCGGTCGTGGGGCCTGAACTCTGGGCCTGGGTGCTGTCCCTCAGCTCTTCAGCTCAAGGCTAGCACTCTACCACTTGAGCCACAGTGCCACTTCCGGCTTTTTTCTTTATGTGGTGCTGAGGAATCGAACCCAGGGCCTCAGGCATGCAAGGCAAGCGCTCTACCACTGAGCCACCTTCCCAGCCCCTGAACTAGGTTTTCATGTTAGTCTGGCTACTTCTCAAATATAGTACTGGGTGGGAGAAAACCAGGTTGTTGAAGGTTACCTAGAATTCTGTAGAAATTAGTGTTTTTAAATGTAAGACAAGGGCTTGGAATGTGGCTTAGTGGTAGAGTGCTTGCCTAGCATGTATGAAGTCCTGGGTTATATTCCTTAGTACCACATACCCAGAAAAAGCCAGAAGTACTGTGACTCAAGTGGTAGGATACTAGCCTTGAGCAAAGAGAGGCTCAGGGACAGAGTCCAGGCCCTGCTTGAGCTCAAGCCCCAGGACCTAAATAAATAAATAAATAAATAAATGACAAGTACTGGGCACCAGTGGCTCAGACTGTAATCCTAGCTAGTCAGGAGGCTGAGATCTGAGGATTGCAGTTCAAAGCCAGTTCAGGCAGGAATGTTTGTGAGATTCTTCTCTCCAATTAATCACCCAAAAGCTGGAAGTGGAGCTGTGGTTCAAGTGGTAGAATGCTAGCCTTGAACAAAAAACTTACAGAAAGTTCCCATACCCTGAGTTCAAGCCCCTAGGACTGATACAAAAGCAAACAGAAAAATATAAGACCAGCTTACCAGTAGTCTAGGACTATATTCACATACACAAATAGGCATGGTTTATCCTGGGGAATGACTCTCTCTGGGGAGACCGAGAAATGGGAAGAATCAGCCAAGCAGAGGGCCAGAGCCCCAGCTGCAAAGCACCACATCTTTAGGGCATAAGTGTAAGTTAGTCTCCCTCATGTTACTGATTTTGTTGTATCTGAAATATAAATCAGGAATTTATAATTTTAGTATTTAATTTTTTAGATAAATCAAAATTCTGTACTTGGATATTGGCATTGTTATAGCTTATCTGTAAGATACCATGATTACTTCTACCTGTGGAAGTTTTGTGATTATACTTAACCAAATTAAGAAGGACTACTTATTATAGAGGATAACTTGGCCATTAGGATGTTGGAATTAACTTAATCTGGTGGATTATTTTTTCTCTTACATATTAGGAGCACCACAAAAGATCCATTCCAAGAGACACTTGGAACCTTCTGCTAGATTTTGGAAACATGATTGCAGATGATATGTCTAACTACGATGAAGAAGGTATTAGTAGCTGTAGAACTTCAGCGGGTGGCCAGATGCTCATACCTGCTGTGGATGCTGACTGCCTACCTCCAGGGCGGCACACCTGAAGGTGGCCAGCTGAGGGCACCAGCTCTGTAGGCATAGGGCAGGGCACCACTTCCTTGTTGGCTTCTGTAAACCACAGAACCATGTGCCTTTAGGCTGAATTGGAGGTTCCAGCCTCTTCTGCTTACACAGATCCATGTCTACAGTATCACCTTCAGTGCCAGAGGCCCCTGCATCAGTGACATTGAATTATTCCTGAGAATGTTGTAGTTATAGGTGGATGGTCTCCCCTCTCCTTTCCAGACTTGGCTAGCCAGATCTGGACATAGTTGCTGATCACTTTTGTGTCTTGGGGCACTTTGCCCTGCCATTAGAGGCATTCATTTCCTGTCTGTGCCCCTGGCTAGTTCAGCTCATGTCTGTCCTCAAATCTAGACACAGTGTTTAGCTCACATCAGGTGGCTAATCAATGCTTCTGAAAGAAGAATATGAAAATGGAGACGGTTTAGTTTGCAGGATTTTTTCTATAGTTGGTAAGATTAGGCCTATATACACAGGACAGTTGTGGGCAGAAGGTAGGAAGGCCTAGTACAGCAGATGAGCTGCTGGAGTTGGCAGAAGCTGGTCAGATTTGAGCCTTTGTGGTGGAGACGGCAGAGAGGCAGCTTGTGATCACCTTCCTTCAACCGCCCCTGAGTAAGTGAGTCCTTTTCTGGAAACTGCAGTGTGCAAATGTGCAAGCCTTTCAGGCCATGTGCCAGCCATCTGCTGACCCTGGCTTCCTGGTGTAAAAAAATTGGGAAGCTAGGCGTAAGTAGCTCATGCCTGTAATCCTAGCTACTCAGGCTGAGATCTGAGGATCACAGTTCAAAGCTAGCCTGGGCAGGAAAGTCTGTGAAATTCTTATCTCCAATAAGCCATCAAAAAACCAGAAGTGACGCTGTAGCTCAAATGGTAGAGCACTTGTCTTGAACTGAAGAGCTTAGAGACAGCATCCAGGTCCAGAGTTTAGGCCCCATGACAAAAAAAAGGGTAACTAGCTGGGCACCGGTGGCTCACTCCTATAATCCTAGCTACTGAGGAGGCTGAGATTTGAGGATCGCGGTTCAAAGCCAGCCCGGGAAGGAAAGTCCATGAGACTCTTATCTCCAATAAACCACTAGAAAACCAGAAGTGGCGCTGTGGCTCAAGTGGTAGAGTGCTTGCCTTGAGCTGAAGAGTGCAGTGACAGAGCCCAAGCCCAGAGTTCAAGCACCACAACCGGCCAAAAAAAAAAAAAAGGGTAACTAGCCATTCATTTAATGAAACTTAAGCTGGAAGCTGGATAAGCTTCAAATCTGACCCTTTATGTATCAGATTTTGAAAAGAAGTACTTTGAATACAAAAATGTTGTTCTAACTGATACTTTAAATCTGTTTGTTTTCCTTTAGGAGCATGGCCTGTCCTTATAGATGATTTTGTAGAATATGCACGGCCAGTAGTCACAGGTGGGAAGCGCCGCCCTTTCTAAGAGGAAAAGTAAGGCTGAGATTGTAATGTGCATCACATCCTGCAAGGGGTCACTTGAGGGTCAGTTGCCTTGTGTGTCTGTCACCGACTTAAGAAGTCCCTCGCACAGTCGTGAAGCTGAAGCTGCTTGAAGGCTGTGGCTGTCGTGTGCACACTGAGGATGGCTGCCTCAGAGTTAGGGTTTGTCCTAGCTGCTGCTTTAGGAGACTCCTGCATGACCTCACACTTACATGAACTAGTAGAGAGCCTGTCTGCAGGCTGCAGAACATGTTTAATTTGTGATTAAGACAAACATACCATAACTATACTTAAAAACAGTATTTATGCCCTCAATAGGATGTATTTTTATAGAAATCAAGGCTGTTTCAAATTGTGCCCTAATGAAGATGACCTTATCAGAAGATGGTTGTTTTTAAATCTTGGTACCAGGAATTCATAATTTTATTTATTTTTTGAACTATCAAACATTGGATTTATCAGATCTGCATTGCTTTTGTTTTTTTCTGGTGTTTATATGAGTACTTTGATGGGTTTATGCACTATTTCAGGATGCGCAGTGACAGGTACAGGTAAGCTAATTCCAGTGACACTCATTTAGCTGTTTACCTGCCAGTGGGTGTGCTTTACTTCTAATGATGTTATTTGAACCTCCTAAAAAGTTTATTTTTTAATTATATATAAATGAAAGACATTTTTCCATGAAAAGCATTTCTTTTTGAGTGCATTAAGGTTTTAAAATCAAATGCACTAGTTCCCTTCACCTCTCTGTGATATCCACAATGCCCAGGGTCCAGCCCTTTGTATAGACACGTATGTTTGGAAGAAAGCCTACCCTCACCTCAAACCTTCATCTCATCTACGAGCCACAGTCTGTACCATATTACCATCTGACTTTGTGGTATTTGTCTGGCCAAGGACCACTTATGCACACAGCATGGAGGGCCTAGGTGTCGCCTGCTCTTCTAGTGTCAGGCTCTGAACATTACTGCGCTGACCCTACCTCACATTTGCCAAGACTTGGTATCACAGCGTGCCTTGCTGCCCTCCCTACAACATGGCCTGGAGATGAGTGGCTAGGGCCACTCCAGGATGGGTTCTCAACACCTGTGTACAGAACGTATGCTCCACTTGGGCCATCAAAGTGGTCTCTGAGAAGGAGATACACCCTAGCTTAAGGAAACAGCTCTGAAATGCGCATAGCCTGCAACAGAATCCATTGGTGACACTGAGAACTTCCAAGAGGGAAAGGGGTGGAGGGGTGGAGACAGACCGGACTCTGAAGAACTGGATCCTCCCTGTGAGAGGACATGACTAGTGGTATGGTGAGGACAAGCCACGTGACCTTTCTCAGCTCTGCTGTGTGTCCTTTAAGCTCTGACTCAACATTTATTTTAATATTTAAAATTCTATGAGGTTGTCAGATTCTAAATATTGGTAATTGGACAAAACCTCTTCAGAGTTGTGCTTTCTTATTTTCATTTGAATCATGCATGCAATAAAGATGCTGAGAACTTGAGAAGCACTAAAATAAATTATTTTCCCTTGTGATGTCCTTTATTCTTTGTTGCACAAGACACTCTTTGTCCTTACAGAAAGCTTCCTGGATAGCAACCAGGAAGCAAGCCACTCAGTCACATTGCATCTGACTTACCACCCAGGTAAACACGCATGTCCCATGCAGACAGTTCCAATCACTTTAGGTTTCTTTCTCAGTATCAGGTCACATGTTGAATAGAGTTGTTCCAAGTCAGAAATTATAGCACACTTACTTTATAGAGGAGTCTATAGGAGGTACATACTAGAATGTACACACAGATTGAAAACAAATTAACTAAACAAAATAGGTTTAAGAGATATATATTTCCTGTTCTAGTACTTGCCAAGAATTTCTGGTGTAGACATCATCCTTATATCTGAGTGATATAGTACAGGTTTTTGTTTATTTTTATCAGTCGTGGGTACTGAACTCTGGGCCTGGGCACTGTCTCTCAGCTCAAGGCTAGAACTCTTACCACTTGAGTCACAGCACCACTTCCAGCTTTTTCTGCTTATGTGGTGCTGAGGAATCGGACCCAGGGCCTCATGCATGCAAGGCAAGCATTCTACTGCTGAGCCACCTTCTCAGCCCCATAGTAACAGGTTTTGTTAAAAGTGTTCCACACATTTCTTTAGGCTTCATAAGTGGGGGTGAGGATCAACTTGTCTTCTGTTGTTGTTGCTGTATTTGCCATTCTAAACACAAAGTTGAGTCATAGTGAACAGGTTAGTGAGCCTTCTCTTGCTATTGGGAGTGTGGGCCGAGTAGTATGGATGTTCCTCAGCAGCCCGTGAGTCAAGAAGTCAGCCTTAGACTATCACTCCTTTGACTGCAGACACTGCTACCCAGTGTCCCCTGAGGCAGGTGGCCACAGATGCCCTGCCAGCTGCTTCTGTGTTTGCTGTCCTATTGGGGCAGGCACTGTGTACCACCCCGTTTGAAGGGCTGTTGGTTTCAGATCTGGAAATTGTGCTGGCTCACAGAACTCTACAGAATTGCAGTCCAGTGTGTTTGCTCAAGGGTATCTTGCTGTGTTTTCTGTATCCTGAGAGTCTTACTAGAGGCCTTTTTTACATCCAGGAGGGATGAAAGCCAGGAATGTGGTGTCTGCTAAGGTGAGGGAACAAAATGGAATAGCTTTCTTTCTAATTTATTTCATTTCAAGCCAGGCTCACAGTTTTACACTTCTGCCTATCTCACCTCATCTGATGACTGGTTTCCATAGCAGTGTGTGAAGTGGTGTTAAGCTGTTGGTGGCACTGACTCTGCACCTGCTAAGACTTCACCCCTCTGTAGTCTAGCACTGGAGCATCTTGTTGGACATTGAATGGTGAGAAAACACTGTACCTTTTTTCAAAGGAAGACACATTTCAAGTGTGGTACCAAAATGATTTATTGATTTCCCCCCCCCCCCCAAATAGCCCTGGAGGTTGAATGAACCAAGTGCCTCATTTATACTAGACAAATGCTCCACCACCAAACTCCACTCCCTGCCCTCAATTTTATAATCTGAAAAGTTTTCTAAAAGTTGAAACTCCAGTAGATGAATCTCAACATTATGCTGAAAGTGGCCAGACACAAAAGACCACACTTACTGTATTAGAAATTTCTTTTTTTTTTTTTTTGCCGGTCATGGGGCCTGAACTCTGGGCCTGGGCGCTGTCCCTCAGCTCTTCAGCTCAAGGCTAGCGTTCTACCACTGGAGCCACAGCGCCACTTCTGGCTTTTTCTGCTTATGTGGTGCTGAGGAATTGAACCCAGGGCCTCATGCTTGCAAGGCATGCACTCTACCGCTGAGCTACCTTCCCAGCCCTGTATTAGAAATTTCTAATAACTATTCATTAGAAATGGCAAGATGGTACGTTGCGTTGATTTGAAAATTCTAGGAAAAGCAAAGCCATGAAGACAGGGCAGCCTGGAGAATGCTCCATAGTGGCCCTGACCACCCACTACTACACCTTCACAGATTTCCACCGTACTGCACTGCTCTGCCCACACGGGGGCGCTCTCCTCCAGACCACAGAGCCAGGGCTTTAGTACTCCAAGCTTGCTCTGGATGGGGCATGCCAACGTGTTCCTTTGCTGGGAGCCAAGGCTGTCCAGACACCTCCCACGTGGTGAGCTCAGTCCTTCTCATTGGTGCCTGCTAAAGCAGGAAAGATAAGTCTGGCCATTTGGAGGGTGCTGGATAGTGATACAATGACCAGTGTCCGCAGGACGGACTGAGGGTGGCGGGGAAGGACAAAGGCAGCTGAGAAGAAGATGGAGAAGTTCAAGGCTGCAATGCTGCTGGGGAGTGTGGGCGATGCACTTGGCTATGGGAATGTCTGCAGGGAGAACAGTTCTCTAGGCTCCATCCAAGAAGAGCTGCAGAAGGTTGGGGGACTCAACCACCTTGTGCTGTCGCCTGGAAAGTGGCCAGTGAGTGACAACAGCATCATGCACATGGCCACGGCCGAGGCTCTCACCACAGGTAGGATCCACAAAGTGCTCTGCTTAGTTGTAAAGAGAATGGTGTGCGGCTGCTCATGTGCTCTCAGTAAGCACTGGAGCCTTGAAGGCGGTGTACCCAGGAGCCAGTGTTACCTGATGCCGCTGCTAAAAGTGGCAATTTAATATGCACTGGTGTCTCTCAGTACATCATACAGGCAGCAGGTCATGTTTCTTCTGTGATCTTGATGGATAAGGAAGATTCAGCTGCTGAACTGCAGCTTCCACTTGTTGAGCGTCAGCTCAGCCAGCACTCAGTTTCTGCTAGTGTATCCCAGGCAAACTTGGTGCATTTGGAGCCACGGAGGTGGGGGCAAGGGGCAAACACAGCTATGTACTGCAAGAGATTGACGCTTCTTGTTGAGTTGGTCTTATACTTTATATTCTCTTTAAGATAAGTAGGAATTCAAGCCATCTTGAAATTATACAATTATAGTTTCCATTACAATTTTCCCATTAGAGTATCATTGGGGATTGAGTCTGATTTCCAAAGAATTGTGGTTTAGCAGGGCACCAGTGGCTCACGCCTGTAATCCTAGCTACTCAGGATGCTGAGATCTGAGCATCATGACTCAAAGCCAGGTCGGGCCGAAAAGTCTATGAGACTCTTACCTTCAACTGACCACCAGAAAAGCCAGAAGTGGAGCTATGGCTCGAGTGATAGTGTGCCATCCTTGAGCAAAAAAGCTTGGAGACAGAGTTTAGGCCCTGAGTTCAAGCCCAGGTACTGGCATGTGTGTGTGTGTGCATATGTGTGCGCATACCAAACACACACATATCTCAAATGACAGCTTGACCTTGCTTTTACATAAATGTATTTAAGAAAATGCTGCAGTAAGGAGTAGATTAGTATTAGGATGACCAAAGTTGTATATGAATTTCAGAAAAACAGATACACATTATACACAACTTTCCTATACATGCTGTGCTCTTTGGGATCCTGTAGATATTATTAGTCTATCATTTCAGAGTAAAGGCTTGAGAGCAGCTATTAAAGCCAGTGGATTTCAGTTATGCATTTACTTGACCATTCCATTTGTCTGCCGTGTACATGCTCCATTTAGCGCTGCAGTCATTGTATAGGAATGCCATCCATGCCATGTCCCAAAATAGCAAGCTAAGGCACGACGATAAGATAAGGTGTCACAGCTTGTGGAGAATGGTGAAGTATCTTTCTGACTATTGTGAAATCCAAGTATTTCCTGATTCTGCCTTCACTGTATAAGAATGCCATCAACTGGTTCTGAAACTAGCAAGAGCTGACAAGAGGAGTCTGGTGGTGAAGCATCTTTATGCTACATAATTATGAGATCCAAATATCACTGCTTCTTGGGCAGATGGGCTCCTTTAGATTAAAATAATATTGCAGCAGTCCAAGCTGTAATGCATCCCCTTCCCCTTGATAACGGCCTGCCAGACACATGGCTTTTGAGACAAAGCTACAATGTGTTACAGCTACAAGCAGGTGACCCTTAGTCCTGAAGCTGGCCTCCTGTTTGATGCCACACAAAGGGCCTTGCAGTGTAGGGTTGGGAAGGTGGCTCAGTGGTAGAGCGCTTGCCTTGCATGCCTGAGGCCCTGGGTTTGATTCCTCAGCACCACATAAGCAAAAAGAAAAAAGCCAGAAGTGGCGCTGTGGCTCAAGTGGTAGAGTGCTAGCCTTGAGCTGAAGAGCTGAGGGACAGTGCCCAGGCCCAGAGTTCAGGCCCCACGACTGGACCCCCCCCCCCCCGCAAAAAAAAAAATTGCAGTGTACAGTGGCTCTTTGCTTGTTCTCCCAAGACAGGCGGAATTGGACAAGCTGCACTTAGCACATTTAAGGAAGCTTCGTCACTCACGAGGCTGTCGCCCTCTGAGCCCTGGCCATGTGGTCTGTAGCAGTGAGCACAATGCAGTCTGGCGAAGTCATGTAGCACCCAGGACACAGCTGTGTCTGGCAGCTACAAGACATGCTAGTCCTTCCTGCTTCAGTTATGCTTCACGTAAGGCCTCACACTTTGCCAGAGTGGTTTCATGGCCTTCTGTAGGTGAATGACAGGTTTCAGTTCCATGTCCAGCTTATTAGTTAACATAGGGTCTCACTAACTTGTTTTAGCTGGTCTTGATTCTCAATCTATACCTCTGTCTATTCCTCCCGTGGTGCTGTGGTTACAGTGATGAGCCACGTTGCTTGGCTCAATGTTGGTTGGGAACCATTGGGAAGTTTTCTAAACAGATTTATCTTTCCAATGCAAGACCAATAGGGAAAATGGGACTGGTAGCTGTACCATATAGCACAGCAGTCCCACAATTGGAAGCTTTTGAAACGCTTTTCAATTTTCTGGTTACATTCTACTTTCTAGTTTACATTCTAACCTGGAAACATAAGGATCTTTGCTTCCATTTTGTTTTGATAAAAATTTCCAATTATCAGTTAAGTATGAGATTTCATAGTATCTAATCCCAGAAAGAAAATCCCAGAAAGTGCCCATCTGGTTGGCCAGGATGGAGGGAAATAAGGGCTGTCATAGATAGTACTGGCAAGTGACTGCCAGACTCTGGGACTCCCAGAAGCCTGGCCAGACCCTCCAGCCTGCACAGCGGGGTCCTGTGCACAGCACAGGCTTGTTTTGTGCCTGCAGTGGTGTCTGTGGCACTCTCATAGGATGTGCAGAACTCATTTCTCCTGAGCAAGGTCCTACCTGCCCCTCCCTCCCCCAGCTCCCATCAGCTAGGTATACAGTGGTCCAGGAAAGAGTCCCAAGGCCGCCTCAGTGCTCAAGGTTCTGCGAGTTGACTGAGGACAAGCTCTTTCTTTCCCCATGGTTCACAGTAAGGGCGGGGGCTTCGACTGTTTAGAACTTCCCCTGACCTTCCTCTCAGGGCTGTGCACAGGGGAGCACGGGACCTGAGCCAGGCCCTGGACAAGTCACAACATGACCTCTGAATTTTCTTGTCCTACTTCTCTGACACAAGTGGCCCTCTGCCCTCGTCATCTCCTCCAGCAGCTCCCCAAATGGGCACCATGGCCAAGGAAAATGGAGGCAGTGGTATCTCCTGATGATAGTCTCCAGTCCATAAGAACAGCTTTTGCACATTACAATGATGTGTTGGTGGCTGTGAAAAAGAGTACGGTAAGACAGCCCCTCACTGCCCTCCCCTGGTACAGGGCCTCTACAGCCACAGCCAGATGTCTTGGATTCTAGTGTTGAGATGCACTACCTGTGTCCTCTAGGCAGTAGTCTAGCTTAGTGATCAGAAGACTCTGCCTTTGTGCAAAATCCGTCATCTCTGTCTGTAGGAAAAACACCACATTACTGAGCCTTATCTGGAACAGAATGACAAATTTTGCTGTGGAAAGATCTGCATCTAAGATGCACTTGGTCCAGACTCTGCTGGGCTGGGGTAGGTGTCAGATATGTCCGGCTCTTTATGCCCTCTTTGCTCCATGATCCATTTGGGACTTGATCCCATACTTGTTCCCAGACATGGTATGATAATAATGGCCTTGTACTGCATGAGGTTCCTGTGGGAAGAGACAAGAGCTGGTGCCAGTCCAGAATCAGCCTCTGTCACAGTAACCATGTCTGTTCTCTGAGCCCAGAAACAGACAAATTTTTGGCTCCATTCTCACATGGGAAATGAAGTTGGCAGGTTTTCCTTAGATTCTCAGATAATGTGAGAATAGGTAGACAAACAAACATCTGTGAGGTCTGGGTTGGAAGGAGACCTGTGCATTAAATACTTCTAGGTAGCAGATGTGAGATGGTCTACTTCCTTAACAACTGGCTGGAGTCCATCATTGCACCCAAGCCCTGTCCACCAGTGTCTGTGCTAATGTCTGCTCCTACCCTTCCTTCCCAGACTACTGGTGCCTGGACGACCTATATCGGGAGATGGTGAAGCGCTACGTGGAGACGGTGGAGAAGCTTCCAGAATATCGGCCAGACCCAGCTACTGTGGAGGGCTGTTCTCAGCTGAAGCCAGATAACTACCTCCTGGCCTGGCACACACCCTTTAGTGAAAAGGGTCAGGGAACCCATCTTTTCTTCAGAAGTATTACTAAGGGTCTCATGGGTTGTCCACCTGTTCTGCTACCACCACGGTGTCCGTAGGATGCCTGGAGGAGCGTCCCTTGCTGGCTATGCCTGCCCATATGGGTGGGGCTTGGAGGACTCTGTTCACACGGTGTCCCTTGCTGGCCATCCCTGCCCATATGGGTGGGGTTTGGAGGACTCTGTCCATGTGGAGCCCCTTGCTGGGTGTCCCTGCCCATGTGCCCATGTGTGTTTGAAGGAATCTGTCCTTGAGGCACCACCCAGGCTTCCCCAGTTGGATCCTGCCATCCATTTCTGTTTCTGTTAAGGACTAATTTTCACTGTGTTTCCTTGGAGTTTGCCTTTTGGTAAGAATTTGTGCCATCTGTCTGCACATCTCCATGATGCTGCTTTTGTGTTTGTGGGAGTGTCATGCAGGCATCCACAGCCTCTGCCACTTAGGAGCCTTCCATCCTGGCCCTGTATCCTGGGCCCTTTTCTAAGGGAGAACAAGGCCCCTAAGCTGAGCTTCTGGCCCAGAGTTCAGCCCCTCTGCTCCATGGTCCCCTCTCCCAAAGCTTTTGGGACACTGGGAACCTGGACTTAGCTTTAGTAGACAGAGGCGCCTCAGCTTGGGAGAATGCTTGAAACAAGGGAATATAGCAGAACACAAGTAGGACCAGGAGAGCTACTCCGGCAGCCCCTGGTAGGCCAAAGGGGCAGTTTGAGCAGGCACAGGCTTCTCACCACCAGGAGGGGATGTTTGAGCATGTGTAGACTGGCTACCAATTGGAGGGTCATAGGATCATTGCCTTTGTCATAGAGAGGAGTACACAGAGCTTCCTGTTAGAGTAAAGATAGCACAACCTCTTCACAGGAAAATAGGTTATTATCTGTCAAATTATTTAGTTTACACACCCACTATCTGGCAATTATAGAGGTTCTAAGTCCCTCTGATGAGGCCATACTAAAACAAGTGAACAGAGGTGTGTGCATCATCACGTGTATTGAAAACACTGGAGGACATCTTTGTGTCTCAGTAGAACTTGGAAGTTAATATGGTGCATCATTCACTGGCATACTTTAAAAATATTTTAAAATATTAAGTAGTTTTATATGTTGAGTTATGGAAAGCCCCTTACTAAAGTTTGGTAAATCATTATTCACCAAACTACTGCATTATTGCAAGATGCCAGCCAGTGCATCTGGATCCATTCCAGCTGTGTTTTTAGAAGCAATGTGCACAATGAGAGAGTTCATGTGTTGTTCATGGTCACTTGGCTCTTTTGTCTCCAGGTCTTGGGTAAAGTGGAGCATCATGGCAGGGAAAGTGTGGTAGAATAAACTGCTTACCTGGTGGTGGTCTGGAAGCAGAGAAAAGCAGAAAGCGGGGAAAAGGGCTGTGGACAGAACATAGCCTTTGAGAACATATCCCAGTGACATATTTCCTCTACTTAGGCCCCACCTCCTGCAAAATCAACAACTTCCTAGTAGCCCCTCAAGCTGTGAGTCCATCAGTGGGTCAATTCACTGATGAGGCCAACCCTCAGGATCCACTCACTTCTGCAAAGATCTCTTCTCCCCCTGAACACTACGCTTTGACTACAAGGCTTCAGTATGTGGATGCTAGGGGGACAAATCTGAACTGTAACAGCACAAGTTTGGAATCAGATCACATGGTTTCTAATTTAAATTATCATCCTGCTCTAGGAAAATGAACAGTTCACTGACTTTTTCTTTTAAAATAGATTAGTAACCACCTTTGTTCACCCTACACAGAAAGACTGACAGAAGCATGTCACAAGTCCGGGGGCTTTCTGTCATGCTGGACAGTTGCACCCATTACTCTAATTACAGTCTTAAGTATTTGCTCACAAAGGAGCATTAGCCTGGATATATAGAATAGTTTCTGATAAATGAATTTCTCAGTTACTCCAGTTTCCTACTGCAAGTATTTTTTTTTATCTGAATGTCTCCTATTGTGTAATTTAAATTTTTTGGAGCTTTCATTAAAAAAAAAACTCAGTCATGAAAACATCAATCCAGTGATCTGGCCCAGGCTTAATTACACATGCTACCCTCAGTCATTAAGCCAGTCACTTATGCCAAGTCCTGTGCAAGGGAAAAAACCTGGAGGTTCTCTCTGTCCTCATGATGCTGGTGCCCTTCCTGGGTATCCTCCCAGCACTCAGACCCTGTGCTGCCCTCCCCTTAGAGCACCTAGAGCAGCTGGTCACTGTCTCCATAGGTAGTGCTAGGAAATAAGAAGTCCCTTTAAAAAATATATGCATAATCTCATTATAATGTCTAAAACATGATGCAAAATTTTGGCATCATCTTTTTTGGCTTAACATTTTTCTTATATAATCTTACTCTCTTTTCTAAATAGTTGTTTTCATTTTCCTTTTTTTTTTTTTTTTTTTGTAGGTCATAGGGCTTGAACTCTGGGCCTGGGCGCTGTCCCTCAGTTCTTCAGCTCAAGGCGAATGCTCTACCACTTGAGCTACAGCACCACTTCCGGTTTTCTAGTGGCTTATTGGAGATAGGAGTCTCACGGTCTTTCCTGGCCAGGTTGGCTTTGAACCACAGTCCTCAGATCTCAGCCTCCTGAGTAGCTAGGATTACAGGCATAAGCCACCGGCACCCAGCCCTTGTTTTTTTTTTTTTTTTTTTTTGTCCATATGAAAATATTTTCTCAGGGCTTAGGCTGTAGCTCAGTGGCAGAGCACTTGCTTGCCTGATATGAATAATATTCAGGCCCTGGGTTCAGTCTTGAGCACTGCAAAAAAAAAACCCATAAAATGGCCATTAGTACATGACCCTATATTGATTACAATCATAAAATACATCAGTCTGTTACCCCCACAAATATTTCCAAAACAGTTGCCATTATATTCTTTGAATTAAGTATTCTGATTTTTTTTTTTTTTTTGCCAGTCCTGGAGCTTGAACTCTAGACCTAGGCACATTGATCTTTTGTGCTCAAAGCTAGCTTCTACTATGTAAGCCACAGATCCACTTCTTACTTTTTGTGGTTAGGTAGAGATAAGAGTCTCTTGGACTTTCTTGCCCAGGATGGCTTAGAGCCATGATAAGTCAGCCTCCTGAGTCACTAGGATTAGAGCTGTAAGGCACTGGTGCCTGGCAATTATTCTGATTTGAAATAATAAAAAACCCTTCTTTTTTCATTAGTCCACTATAGAGTTCACAGAAATTACAAGGAAAATAAAGAGCTAGAAACTGATTTTGCTTGTAACTCAGGCAGGAGGATTGCTAAAGTACATGAGTTCAAGACCAGCCTGGGCAACACAGCAAGACTCCATCTCAACACAAGAAAGAAGAAAGGAAGCTGAGCATAATGATTGAGTCCTGTAATTATACTACTTTCAGGAGGTAGCGATCAGGGGATCAGGGCCAGCTCAGGCATAAAAGTTCCTGAGACTACATCTCAACAGGTGGCTGGGATAGTTAAAATAATTAGACCCAGTATCAGAGCTAAGTTACATGAAAGTTGTTTGTGTAATCACACTTATGCAGAGTCCAGAAAATACAACCCCCTAGCCTTCAAATCACGTGTGCAGGAGCTGTGAGAGGCTGGGGATGCAGATGCCTTACTCTGCATCCCTCTTCCTTGTCCATGTGCTTGTGCGTTATCAAGTCCACACTTTAAACACATGCTGCATATTATATATCAATTATAATGTGAGTTATAAGTGTATCTCAAGTATAATACAATCATAACTTTAAAAAGAAAAGATATATAATTGAAAAACACCATATGTGCAATTTTGTCTTTTACATTTTCTTTTTTCTTTTTCTTTTTGCCAGTTATGGGGCCTGAACTCTGGGCTTAGGCACTGTCCCTCATCTCTTCAGCTCAAAGCTAGCGCCCTACCACTTAGGCTACAGCGCCACTTTCTGCTTTTTTTGCTTATGTGGAATCAAATCCAGGGCCTCATGCATGCAAGGCAAGCACTCTACCACTGAGCCACCTTTCCAGCCCTGTCTTTTACATTTTATTTTTCAATTAGGAGAATATTTTGAGCTTATCCCCAGGCCACCAAAAACTGCTTTTAATGGCTGAATAACTTTCAGTATTCTTACAGACATGACCTATTAAATTTCTTTTCCCTCATTAGGTATTTGATTGGCTTGTCTGTTGTTCATTTATTTAAGTAAAATTCTGATGAACATGTTACTATAAACTTAAAAAATTATTGTTCTTATAGAGGTGATGTACAGAGGGGTTGTGGTTATACTTCCCTCTCACTGTATAAGTTTTCACACTTAGAAATTATTATGAATGCCAGATGCTGGATGTGAGATGATAGGAGTCTAATTTCAGGTGTTTATCTCCCATGCAGGCTCAGGATTTGGAGCTGCCACTAAAGCAATGTGCATTGGCATGAGGTACTGGAAGCCAGAGCGGCTGGAGACCCTCATCGAAGTCAGCATCGAGTGTGGCAGAATGACCCACAACCATCCCACAGGTAAGATGGGCCAGGACAGGAATGATGTCGTGACATCTAAGCTTGCTTCTGCTTCTGTGTGACTCTGGCTCCCAGCACAGGACTAGAACTCTCAGGCAATCACATCCACTGTTTGCTCATCTGTTATCCTCAGCTTTACTTAATGTCTGTTTGATTTCCTCCTGACAATAAACTTGCATTAAGTGTGGTATGACATTGAAGAAATTGTGCAAGGGCAAGAATTTTCCTTGGTTTCTAGTATTGTTCGTGTCAGAAACAAAAGGTAGGACTCAGTCACCAGGGATTAGGCTGATACCATACTGTCTGGTGGAGGCAGAGCTGGTCCCACTCTGGCATATTTTCCAGGGACCACAGAGAGCCTAGCCATGCCTTGTCTCCTCCCGGACTAGGAGGAGATAGTGAGGATGGCCATCACACCCCGTTTCTGGGCTATGGTGAGCATAGTAAGTAGTCCCCACGTACAGGCTGCCACACGGTCTGCATAGAGTGGCCACCACCACATCATCCAGGGGTGGCGCCTTGACAGAGCACAGCCGGCCACATCCCAAGACAGGCCCCAGTGAGTAATGCAGGAATGTAGGAAGATCATGAGGCTGTGGCTCTGTCAGCTATGTTATAAAAAGAAAAAGAAAAAAACACTCAAAAAGCTACCAGTCGTGTTCAGGGATGTCAGGCAAGGCCGGCAGATTTACTGCCGCAGCCTCACACACAGCTTCCAGGGCTGCTCTTTTGCAGCCGCTTTCCCATGTTTGTTGTGACATTCCCCCCGGCAGGCAGAAGAGCCAATGGGCTTTTCTAGAAAGCATCTGAGTGCAAATGAGAACCTCAGTGAGCAGTGGAGCTCATGGGGAGAGCATCCTGCCGGACTCACAGGCCTCACTCCTGCTGTCCACTCTCCTCCCCGATGACAAGCAGTAGGTGCTGAAGCAGCACCTACTTCCTACTGCTACAACTACAAGTGAATTCAAAATGCAGACCTGAAAACACTGAGCAGGTGCTATCAGGGGTCGGCATGCAGGAATCTGGATTAAGAGTTTGTATCTCTAAAACATTTTAAAATTTGAGAAATATTAGTCATATGCTTAATGATTGAATGGTCCATACATTGCTAGGATGAGAACCGAAAGTGTTTAAAGGGCTTGATTTTATGTAGTTTATTGCCTCTGGTAGCATGTATTACAATTGTTATTATCTAATTAACGAGTTTATATTTCTTGCCTTTGAGGTGTTGTGTCCCAAGGAAGCAGGGCGCCAGTAGCTCATGCCTGTAATCCTAGCTACTCAGGAGGCTGAGATCTGAAGCTCGAGGTTCAAAGCCAGCCGGGGCAGGAAAGTCCATGAGAATCTTATCTCTAATAAGCTACTCAGAAAACCGGAAGTGGTGCTGTGGCTTAAGTGGTAGATCTCTAGCCTCGTGCTGAAGAGCTGAGGGACAGCATTCAGGCCCAGAGTTCAATCCCCATGATTGACTGGAAAAAAAAAAAAAAGTGTAGGAAGGAAGGCCCAGGCCCATGAAGGGAGGCCAAGGGTACATGTGGTCAGGATAAGTCCAGCCCCAGGCCCCAGATCTGGGCTTGCCAGTCAAGGCCTTTCCCCTTGTTCTGAGATGGCGCATTGTTGAGTTCTAGACAAGAGCCCTGAAGCCACTGGTGGGCATCAATTCTGTGAATAGCCACACTCTAAGCCATTTTTGAGTGTTCCTCCCCTGTGGCCTGGCCTATGGTGGATTCTGCCCTGCTTAGAGTCATTGACTCCCAACAGTGGCCCTGGAAAGGTGCGCCTCTCCCTCCAGTGTGTGCTGATCAAGGGCGGAGAAAGGCCAGGTGACAGAGCTGTTTCTTGCTGCCTTCCAGGGTTCCTTGGGTCCCTGTGCACGGCTCTGTTTGCCTCTTATGCCATACAAGGAAAACCACTTGTGCAATGGGGGAGAGACATGCTACGGGCAGTCCCACTGGCCGAGGAGTACTGTAAGAAGACCATCCGGCACATGGCAGGTGAGCCCAGCTTCCTCTTCAGCTCCCTCCAGATTCCCTCATGGGAAAGAGGCTGTTCTCAGCTCACACACAAGCACACTTGCTCAGACCGAAGCTCAGCTCTACCCCCTCACTACTGGCTACACCCAGAGGCACAAGATAGAGAATCCCCTTGGTTGGTTTAAGTGGAATTAACCCTGTGAAGTTGGAAGGTTCTCACCTCGCAGAGGGAAAACACCAGATTAGGGTGGTACTAGGTGCACAGAGGGGCAGAAACTTCTTCCCCAGAACCTCACGGCCTCTGCAGAGACTACCATACTCCTCCACTCTTTGTCTAACTACATATTCAGCTTGGGCTCATACTTGAATTTTCATGCTGACCTGGATGTCTAGTGCAGGAGAGAAGGGACCCGTTTCTACAGAGGAAGGAAGGGCCATACCTGCCTCCCACACTGGGGCGCCTCGCCTGTGCCATGAGTCCCCAGGCCCCAAATCCCTAGGGGTCTGTGCCCTGTGAGGGCACAGACCCCCAGGGTTTCCATCTGCCACAGTTAACCCAAAGCTTGTCACTCTGTGGATATGAGTGACATGCTAATGGCCTTGAATTTAGGACCAGGGCGCTGTTCCTTGGCTTTTTTTAAAATACAATTTTATTGCTGGGCACCAGTGGCTCACGCCTGTAATCCTAGCTACTCAGGAGGCTGAGATCTGAGGATCATGGTTCAAAGCCAGCCCAGGCTGGAGAGTCTATGAGACTCTTATTTCCAGTTAACCTCCAGAAAATCGGAAGTGGCTCTGTGGCTCAAGTGGTAGACTGCTAGCCTTGAACAAAAGAGCCCAGGCCCAGATCTCAAGCCCTACAACCGACCAAAAAATAAATAATATATAATTTTTTATTATTATTAAGGTGTTGTAAAGAAAGGTTACCATTTCACAATTTAGATAATGAGTGTATATATCTCTTTTGGACAATGTCATCCCTTCCTTCACATTCCCCACGGGTCCCTGCCCACAAGTTGCATAGTTCATTTTCCACATAGTGTATACTGAATATTATGATTGTGTTTGTCCATGCTTCCCCCCTCTCTTTCTAAGATTCCCCCTTTGCCTCTCTTAAAAAAGCAGAAAAATTTTAGAAAAGTACTGTCCCCTCTCCCCCACAAGGGTGGTGCTCTACACTTGAGCCACAGCTCCACTTCTGACCTTTTGCTTGCTCATGGGGTATAAGAGTCTCACAGACTTTCCTGCTCAGGCTGGCTTACAACCCGGAGCCTGAAGATCTCAGCCTCCTGAGTAGCTAGTGTTGCAGGTATGAGACACAGGTGCCTGGGTCTATTTGTTTGTGTTTTTCAGTGCTGAGAATTGAACTCAGGACCTCATGTCTACTAGGCAAACTTTCTACCACTGAGCTACATCCTCATTCCTAAATAATGAAATTCTTGGTTTAAAACATTCCAGAGAATACCCTTACAATATTGCAATCACTGCTTGGTTTTAGAATGCAGTTAAACAACTGTGGAGCTGCGTTGTGCTATCTCCACTTTCCTTGTCGTTTAAAGCAGCCACATGTTGCAAAGTTCCTATTTCCAGCACAGCATCCTTGGGCACAGGCGATCCGTCCTGCTCCCACCTCTGCTGGGCACCATCAGCCCGCCTTTCCTGTGCTTGTGTTTAGAGTACCAGGAGCATTGGTTTTACTTTGAAGCTAAATGGCAGTTTTATTTGGAGGAGAGAAAAATCAGTGACGACATGGAAGGCAAAGCCACCTTTCCTGACAACTATGATGCAGAGGAGAGAGAGAAGGTGAGTCTGGCCTGGCCCTGGGTGTGCCTGCACACCACAGTGCCCAGCCAGTGTGCAGGGCAGGTAGCCCAGAGCGGCCTCTGGGGATGGTTGGGATCTTGGGCTGGGAACCACGCTGACCCATGGCTCTCTTCAGACCTATAAGAAATGGAGCTCAGAAGGCCGAGGCGGACGACGAGGCCATGATGCCCCCATGATAGCCTATGACGCCCTCCTTGCAGCTGGGAGCAGCTGGGCTGAGCTGTGCAACAGGGCCATGTTCCACAGAGGTGAGGGTCCCCCTCTGTGATCGTGGCTCAAGTGCTTCCAACACCTCTCAACTCCGTGCGCACCACAACGGAGGTGCTGACACTGCTCAGGGCCCAGCCATGGGCTTTGGGGGAGGGGCAGCAGAGAGCAGGGGGACTGTGGATGGAAGGAAGCAGTGCAGCCTGCTGGGTCCCCTCTTCACTGCAAGTATGCAGGGTGGAGTGAGTGCAGAGCACTGGGGTAAAGACAGCTGAGGGGGAGGGAGGAGTAAACTGCTGGGAGCCAGGCATGGCCCAAGGAGCCAGGGTGTACCCCGAGTGGCTTAGGCAGACCCTGAAGCGTAGTCACTGCTCCTGAGCTCTTCGCTGCTGACTGCACTGGAGGCGAATGCATCTGTGTTTGACTGCAGGTTTGTGGCTAGAGCCCTCTGTTGATGACAGAAAATTATGTAAGGAATTGAGCTTCATTGTATGTCACAATGTATTAATGTGAAGAGACCCTCAGCTGGCTGGTGCCCTTCCCCCTGAGAGAGCAGCTGGTTTCAGAACCATCCTGCTCTCAGGATGGAGAGAGTAGCCTCAGGAGTTCATAGTCCTGGCTGCATGCAGCAGCCCTTCCTTCACCTTGTTCCCTGCTCTGGGTGTCTGGGAAAGGTTCAAGCCTCTCCCAGGAAAAACGCCAGTCTTCCTGGGTTTTCAGCCATGTCTGCTCCCAGGCTCCCGCCCTGATACTCCTCCCTCCCCACAGCAAGGTTCCGTTTGACCCTTCCAGACTCTCTCCCCACCAAACACACACACACACACACACACACACACACACACACACGTGCTCACACAGACATGTACACAGGGCTCGTGTACGCAAATGTGCCCGGGCATGAGACAGTGCATGTGAGTGCACATGTGCGTTTGTGCGTGTGTATACTTGTGGGTGTAAGCTTGAGTGTCCATGTATACATGCGTGCTTGGATATGAGTGAAACGAGATATTGCCAGGAATCAGTAGCAGCCTGTGAATGGAGGCTGAATGGCAGTGGTCATGTGGGAAAGAGCCCTGGTGGGGGCCTGTGAGGCAGAGGCATGGCTGGAAAGGCCTAGGTATCAGGGATGGTGGGGGCAGGAACCCACAGTTTCCAAGGTTTCCAGCTGCTGTCACTCCTAGAGATAGCAGGGCTCTTTGCGTTTGAATTTGGAAACAAACTCACGAAGGGTGTCCTAATTTTGTACTCAGACAAATTTCAAAAACCATTTGAGTCTGTGGGAAGTACATGATGGGCACATGCCCCTCAGTTCTGAGAAGCAGAGCCAGGCATGGATTGAGGGAGCTGTAGGTCAGGGAGGCAGGTGCACAGGCACAAGGAGGGAGGAGGGGACATGGGGGCCTCGCTCATGGAGTATGGTGGCTGCGGGGCCGTCAGCCCACGAGGCTCATGGAGCTGGGCCTGGAAGGAGCCGAGCCCTGTGCATGGAGCCCCCTGGGACGCTGTGCTTTCCATTCTAGGTGAGAGTGGGGCCACAGGCATGATCGCCGGCTGCCTGTTTGGCCTGCTGCATGGCCTGGATGCCGTCCCCCAGGGCCTGTACCAGAACCTGGAGCACAAGGGCAGACTGGAGGACTTGGGCTCAGCCCTCCACCGCTTGTCCACGGAGGAGAAGTAAAGCATTTCTACCATTCCCCTTCCAGAAGGCAGCTGTAGTTTCCACATGCAAGCTTGTAGCCTCTGTAGGGGAGGGTGTCCAGTCAGACAATTAAATGTTAACCACTCCCTCCCCAACTTCAGAATCCAATTTTCTCTATAAAATACTTTGTTTGTCCTATGAGAGTACCTTCCCATGCCTCCACTGCTACCTCATGCTACCAACCTTGCCTTGCGGTTGCCACACTCCTTCCAAATACAGTGGCTGTGAGTGTCTTTGGACAATGGTGCATTTTATTCTGTCACAAACCACTAGCACGTGGTTTTTTCTACCTCCTGGTAGACATGTGGTTTGACTGCTGGCATGCCTGCTGCCTAGTCACAGAGGAGAGAATGCAGCTCACCAGCTGGAAGATATGTTCCTGTCCCACAGTGGAGACACATCACTTCTGGGTCCCTTGAAAGGCACCTAAAATACTGTGTTTAGCCTCACCAGGCAAGGCTTAGTCACACTAGATGGTAAACCAGTCTCTCTTGGATCAACCTCCTGAGAAAGTAGGAAGTGGCCACTCTCCCATCGCTATGCTTGCCTCTTCCCGTGGTCCCCAGATTGCACTTCAGGGGGGTCAGGTTCAAGTGCAGAGGAGGCCTTCAGCCACAGTGGCCCTGCTCCTGCAGGCTCTGATCAGGACAGGGCTGAGACCTGGAGGACGCTTGCTCCTGTCCCTGGCAGTGGCTTTGTACACAGTTTTCTTTAGGTGGTGGCTGATGTGATTCAGCAGCAATTAGCTGAGCACTGGGCTTGGGGAGGGAGGCTGCTTCTGTGTTTTCATTAAGTTCTCCCTTCTAGGGAGAAGACCATGGGCTCCCTACAGATATGTGGAGGAATGGCTGGTGCGTGGACCTCCATGGCCCGCATCTGCTTTGGGGAGATGGTTTGGGTGAGATGTGACATGCCTCCCCACGCCCCTTGGGATGTGTGTGATAGACAGCTGAGCAAGCAGCACATAGCAGTACAGGGGGACTGCCAGCACAGGCTCAGGGCATGTTGGGGCTTCCGACAGTTACCCAGCCCCTCTTCCCGTTGGCTGGTAAGGAAGCAGGCGTGACCTGAGCCTATGGCTTCCATTTCGCAGGACAGCACAGAGCAGTGTGGAGTAGGAGTCTGTTGTTCTGCACTGAGCAGGTGTGGCCAAGTGTGTGCAGGTTGCATTTCTGGATAAGTGAACTCTTCAGTCAGAACCAGGCAGTGGGTGTGAGCTGAGGGGCTTCCTATTACATACTTCCCGAGGCAAGAGCAGCAGGTGTGGAGACTTTAGCAGACAGTCCACTTTCAGGAAGGAAACCCAATTAAGGTAAGTTGGAGCTTCGCCTAGATGTGCACCTCAGCACTGTTTGGTGGTTGAAGTATGTCATTCCATGTCACCGGTTTACCCCAAGAGTGGTCCTTCACTCAGTCCCCGGAGCAGGGGAGGAGCTGCCCCAGTGGAGAGAGGACGTGGGCTCCACCTCCTGGGCAGTTTGGGAGAATTTGATCTATTGGTGAGAATCAAAATGTGAGTCGATTCATAAACGGATTATAAACTAAAATTATAAGCCAAAGTGAAATTCTTAGGTGTCACAAAGTTCCCAAATTTTATTTTGCTATTGCAGAGAAATACAAAGTTGGAAAGAAAAATAAAACCATGCAAAGTAATGAGGGGAATACTGAATCTGTTAGAAATAATTATATTGCTGATTTAGATTTTATTACAAAAGTAATTCACACAGCGTTAGAGATGCAACGATACCATTGGTGTGACGTGAATCACGAGCTTTCCAGACCCTCACAGGACTCACACACAGAACACAGGCCACAGTTCCTTTCTTATACACCCTTCCAGAAGTTTCTTCCATACACAGGATCAGAGCTGTGTGTGGGAGGAGAGACATGTGTATTTGTGTGTTATATTCACACACAGATAGGCAATATAGTGGATAACAACTTGCTTTTTGGCATTTTTCACTATCCTGGATTTTAATATATTTTCCTGTATGCACACACACATACATACACACATGTCCATGCATACACATTTAAAATATTTTCCCGTATATACACATATATACACATGCCTGTGCACACACAAAATTTCCCAGTCTTTCTAGTACTCAATGGTATGAGTGTGCCATAATTTATATACTCTAGCCCTGATAGGGCTTTAAATTGTCCATTAGTGTTGTTGTGCCAGTACTAGGGCTTGAACCTAGGGCCTCACTGTTGATCAGCTTTGCAGCGCTTCAATCCAGCATTGGTTAAATGCAGATGGAGTCCCACAGAATTTTCTGCCTGGGCTGGCTTTCAACTGTGATCTTCCAGTTCTCAGCCCCCAGAGTAGCTAGGATTGCAAGCATGTACCATTAGTCCCCAGCTCTAATTTTTTTTTTTCTGAAACAGTCTTACTGTGTAGCCCAGACTTTCCTTGAACTTGCAGTCCTGCTTCTGCCTCCTTAATGCTGCGAATACAGGTGTGTTCTACTCTGCCAAACTCTAAACACCCATTCTTTTCACTCATTGTCAGGCTGGAGGAATAGCTCAAGTGGTAGAGTACCTGCTAGCAAGTGAGAAACCTTGCATTTAAACACCAGTATCATCAAAACAAAAAACAAATCATGTCACTTCCCATCTCTGAGAGAAGTCTCCTCTCCCCAAGACACAGGCATGCCATATTTCATTTAAAACACTTTTCTTTGCCTTCCCAGGTCTAAAATTACAGTGCGCCTTCTATTTTATTATTACTCAAGAACAAACCACAGGCACTGTTCCCTTTCCCCATAAGTATTTCAGTGAATTTCCTCAGCGCATGCTCCCTAGCCATTACATTCATTTAGTCAGGAGGTATAACCTTGAGGTACTGCTGTTATCCAACACAGTGGCAACCTATTGCAATTTAATGCTATTTATTATAGTTCATGTTATCCAACTGTCTCACCAGTCTCCTTTTTAATCTGTTTATACTGAAAATTTATAACAGAAGCTTAGCCGCCTGCTCTCCCAAACCCTCTCCCAGCTCTGAATCTGTCACGGGTATTGAGGAGCAGTGAGAAGCAGAGGCTGAAATTAGGCACCAGAAAAACCTCCTGGTCACTTATTTATAGCTCGGTGCTTTGGAGAAAGTCCAAGTCCCAGGCCTCAGTCATCCCAGTTGACCACACACCTCTGTTCATCACAGCCTGTTGACCAGATGCCCTCTGTCAGCCACAGCCTTGGACATACCCTGATGTTACTGACAGCATGATGGCAGGACACCCCTCTGCCTTTCACAGCCTGTCATTCACGGCTACAGCCACCCATGTGGGCATAGGGACAAGACCTTCAAGACTCTGAGCATCAAGGTTCAGGTGAATCTTTACCTAGAAAAATACAGACATTCAGATTATCTGAATGTTAGCTACTTAGTTACAAAATAACAGTAATAATAATGAATCATGTTATATGACTTTACTGGACTGAGTCACTCTCAGAATGAGTTGACAAGTTAGGGCTCACAGTCAACATTAAAATCCTGGCTACTCAGGAGGTTGAGATTACCATTCACAGCTGGCCAGGGCAGACAACTATGCAAGATTCTTAGCTAACATTCTTAACATTTAATTAGCAAAAAGATAGAAGTGGTGATGTGGCTCAAGTGGTAGAGTGCCAGCAGTAGGCAGAAAAGTTCAGCAACAGCATGTGTCCCAGAACATGTGTGTGCACACGCACATGTACATATGCATGTGAGTGCACGTATACACACATGCATATATGTGTATATGTGCACTCACATGCATATGTACACATGCAATCGCACACACATTGAATCATCAGTAACACTGATGGCTGCTCAGAGTCACTCTTGCTGGTTCCCAGTTGGCCCTTGGTCTTCTAGGTTATCAGAAAACATTTTTTGGGGGGTGGGTTCAGTCATGGGGCCTGAACTCTGGGCTTGGGCGCTGTCCCTCAGCTCTTCAGCTCAAGGCTAGCGCTCTACCTCTTGAGCCACAGCACCACTTCCTGCTTTTTTTTCTTTTTGCTTATGTGGTGCTGAGGAATCGAACCCAGGGCCTCATGCATGCAAGGCAAGCACTCTACCACTGAGCCATCTTCCCATCCCTATCAGAAAACATTTTATCTCTTAGTGTGTGATGTTTTGTTTTGTTTTTTCGTCTTTCTAAGCCTAATATAAAGCTTGTGTGTAAAATAATGGGAGCCTCACCTTAAAGATCCCCAGTCTACACTGAGTGTGTAGCTCAGTGTGAAGCATATCCAGAATGCACAAGGCCTGGGCCCACTCCTTCCCCAGCATTAGACGTGTGCACGGGGGCTCAGGCAGGTGGCAGAACTGCTTCGAGGCAGATGTTGTTGATTGACAGAGGATGGTCAGGTGATGGATGCCTGTCTCTTGTTAAAGGTAGTGTTAAAAGCTTCCTGAGCGACTCCCCACTTGAGCAGGTCACGATCAATGCCCCAGTTGGGCACTGAACCTGCCAACATGTGAACTTACTAGATGAGACTACCATAGAGGGGCACCCACCCAGAGGGCAGGGCTGTCTGAGAGAGCGTCTCCAGAGTGACCTTGAGGACCTGGTGGAGCCCAGGAGTCTCTCCGTGAGTGAGGGAAGGGCCACAGGATGGCCGCCCTGCAGAGCCCACCTGAGCTCATCCGATCTCCCGGGAGGAAACAGGCAGAGTGGTTTTCCCTATGGAAGATACTCAATGTGTGTGTGTGGGGGGGTACCCGCAGTGGGGGAGGGTCACCCACAGGCTCAGGCAACCTAGGCATGGCCTCTGAGAGCTGGACAAGGCCAGCAAGCCCAGCTGCAGGGTCTGTGGTGAGAGCCCAGGATAGGGCTGGGGGGTGGGGAGGGGGCAGCCTGGCAGAACTTGCCATCTGCTATTGTCTATAAACATCAATGGTGATGGCCAGCAAGGCTGAGCAGCCCGGTGTGTCCCTGGTCTCACATGACCCTCCTGCCAACTAGTCACTGATGCCTAAATTAGGAAGGCGCATGGAGCCTATGTTGACTTTGGCCTTGGAGCGGCAGATTCTGTCCTCTTCTAAGTGAGCTCTGCAGCTCGTCTGTATCTGAGGGACGTGAGGGCAGGCTGTCAGATGGCATGGGCCTCACCGGCCTCCCAGGCCTGCGTGTGGGGTGCAGTCGTTCAAATAGGGCA